CAAACAGAGATTAAATTTTCTACCTCATCACTCGAACTAACCACTCAAAAAATTCCAACGACAATCCCTATCGTCAAAGAATATTCTTCTACGGAGAAGACGAGTGAGAAGAATCTAGTCCAAAAAGAGGCATTAAATAAGGGCCAGGAGCCTACCAAGAGTACCTCTTTGTTTATTGCCATACTTTTTATAAATATTTATCTTCTATATTTATAAAATTGTTTTGTTAAAAATTTATTCTATTAATAAACATTTTTTATTTAACAGGCATCTTATTATTTATTTCAATAAAAGTTCTCAACAAAAAAATGAAATCTAAACATAGCTAATACTTATAAAAAGATACAAAGGGTGTGTCATTCCAATTAAAATTAGAACCACGAAATAATTTGTCAACGGGTGCGAAACCCCTCAATATTCGGTGAATATATTTCAGGGGAAGTTACTGTTATCCTACAATAATTTTTAGTGTCCTAGCTCTACGAATTATTTAGCATAGGATTATGCATATGAGATAATTTGTCAGCGGGTCTAAGGGTTATTTATGGGGTGCCAAGCCCTCTAATATTAAATTATTATTTTTTAGTGGAAGTTTTTCTTGTACCACAATAATTTTTGGTATCCTAGCTCTAAGAGTCATTTAACATAAGATTAGGCGTATAAGATAATTTGTCAGCGGGTCTAAGGATTGTTTATGGGGCGCCAAACCCTCTAATATTAATTATTATTTTTTAGTGGAAGTTTTTCTTGTACCACAATAATTTTTGATATCGTAGCTCTACGAATCATTTAACATTGGATTAGAATAATTATTACTAGGTATATAGATGGTTTGTTGTTTGATTTCCAATCAAGTAATTCCATTCTGTTTTTGAGAATACGAAGACCCGAATCCATGAACTGGATAATTGAATTTCACATTTGATCCTATCAATTTATGTTCGTCAGATTTTATTCAATGAGTAAATAGAAAAATTAAACATGTACTAACTGAATGATATTAAGAGATTGCAATTATTTATTTAACGAATCAATTACTTAAACCAATCAATATATTATTTATTACTTGTGATTCCATGTATAGGTAATGTTGAAAAAACCATTTTGTTCAAGAATTTCAAGTTGTTCGCACACGATAAGTATTTTCTCGTTAAAAATTAAAAAGAAAATGTTCCACAAAGTGATGAAATTTTTCAGTTTCCTTTCCAGATTTCTGGGCCTTTCCGATTTTGTTATAACACAACGCCCTTATAAGTCGAGAAAAATAAAAGTTTTCCGAAAAATTTTATCCTTTGTAGTTCCAGTACTGTGTATGAAATCAGGATTTGATTACGTATTCATAATCCCGATGCATCTTTCAAGAACAAGTATTCTGGTCTATAAAATAGCCATTTTCATGGAGATTTTCAATGTACTTTATTTTTTAATACTTTCAAATACAGGAAAGTATCAAGTGGGATCTTTTATAAAAGAATTGGACGAATGTGAACGTTACTTAGGAACGTTACTCCCTACGAATCGGTCCCAATACTTTGATATAAAGAAAAGATCGTACGTAATTATTTTTATCAATGCAATTGCATTCTTGGGAGTTGTGGCGTCTTTCTACGGATGGAATTACGACAGCGACGTTCCAAGTGAAGTGAACATCACCGCTTTATTTCTAATAATAATTATTTATATAATTACTGTTACTTCTGCTTTATGTGGAAACGAATTGTGTTATTTATTCAAAAGAACGAATAATTATGTTGGTAACATAATCGAACTAAGAGATGGAGTTGAAATTGATATGGATGATAAAGCGACAGTTGAAAAACTGGAAAATTTCTTTGTGAAGATTTTTATTTTGTATAAAAGGTTCGATGCCCATCTTCAGAGACAATTTTTGGGATGCATTTTGTACTGCACATTACAGCCAGTATGCGGATTGTACTATCTAGTACTAAATTATACCGAAAAAAACATAGCAACCAATATTGGTCACACTTATTGGTGTATTGTTCAAATACTTCATCTCAACGAATGGATTTGGACCATAAATTTGTTAAGAAAAGAGGTACAAAACCAAAAGTGTCTAAGTATAGAATAATATAATTCGCGATTTCGATCTTTTTGGATCTCATCAGCGCGTCGCAGACAGCTCCGACAGATACGTAATCCTAAAATGTAGCATCGTACTACAGATGGCGTTTACCGCGCCATTTGTGGTATTTTCTGTCTAAGTATAGTTTAAATATGCTTATCATACACATAAGCGTATTATTACAATAAGAACTCAAATGTATGTTAAAACTATCCTAGGTGTATTTGCGAAGAAACATATTTAACATTTAAACAAAACACAAGAAAATTTCAACAATAAAAATATAATAAAACAACTCGGCAGTTGTCTCGACCTACCTTGAAGAGTACAGAAATGAGTAACATATATTGCTGTAGTCTTGAAAATGACCGAATAGATCGAAACAATTGTCGATTTGTTTTTTTTTTATTATATGTATTATTGTTGAAACATTTTTGTGTTTTATTTGAATATTAAATGCATGCACGTACGCATTTTTAGCAAAAATCACGCAGTTATAATCGAATGTTTGTCAAGCCAGTAGATACGTTTACTTCACAAAATCGCATAACAATTCACATGAGAATTTACTTTAATGCTTTTTTGTGCTAATTGAGTGCTCTTAGCCAAAATTTAAATCTTTGCATTATATGAAAATTATTAGTGGTTCTGAGTAAATATATACTGTTTTTTAAGTATTTCTGAAAAGGGGATATGGATTCTCCTCTAGAGTATCAAGTTATTACACCTACATTGAAAATGCTAAAAGCAAAACAACAAGTTTGAAAAATATTGCTAGTAAGGATAGTACGATTTCTTGCCATTGCAAACAAAATTATCATTAAAATTACTGTAATTTTGTGGTCGTCACCAAATTGTTTTTCAGTATTTAGCGGTCTACATGCTACACGCGAGAAGATGCTAGGTTCCTGGATTCTCTTTTCACTTTTTGGTGCAGGAATAGGACAAAAATTACAGTGACTTTAACGATGATTTCGTTTGTTATCAATCATAAGAAATCTTACTATCTTTACTAGTAATATTTTTTAAATTTATTGATTTGCTTTAGGTATTTTTCTGTGTAGGTACGTGTAACAATCGGTTGCTCGAGTAATGAATTTTCATATAAGGAATGAAACACTAAAATTTTCATTAGAACACTAAATTATCATATAAATCGTTTTACGATTTTGTGATGCAGGTGTACCAGCTTGACAGTAAAACATTTAAAACATCCCCTATTTTATTTTTATGTAATAATACGTTTATTCATATTTTGTTTATAATAAGATCATTCGATGCTGTTCACATGACTATCGAATGTTCTATCACATAAAAATTCTTGGTAAAATTAGCAATAACATCTGCAAACAGAGGTTAAAGTTCAAGTTACAATCACGAATACACTTAATAGAAATAAAACGACTCAAAATTTTGAAAGTATGAAACCTCTTTTGGACAACGTGAAATAATAAAGAAGGAATACTTTCGACGAGGTCGAAACAATAAGTATTTAAAAAAGTTTGTATTATAGAGTAATAAACCGAGACATTGATTTTTTTTCAATAAATCTCTGAATCAATCCTATAGTTTTCGCTTATCTTATATTCAAGAAACTTTTTTAATTAATAATATTGTATATCGCGTAATTTTTATTTTACAGACGCTACAACTAAACAACAATTTCTTCAAACTTGCATCAAAATTTCCCGAAACCTTACTTTCTGACATGGTACAGTATTTTTTATATGTGTATAATATTTATAATGTGCCTAATTTTTTTTAGACGACTTCTCTCATAATTACTTGCAAGAAATCAGCCAATAAAATATTTGGTTCATTTCCTGTGGACTGGACATTGAATATTTGGGTAAATAAACTACAATTATCTATTGAATTAATCAAAAATTTTTTATAAATGCAATTTTTGATTTTTTTGACAACAACTCATACAACGTTTTCCCTCTCTTTTTAGACGTTATCAGTAATTACTTCGTTTCTAGTAATAGCTCTACAATTTAGAACACAAGAAAATCCTGAGAAAAGCATTTTAGATTTTTAAATGGAAGAAATATACTAGAATTAATTAAATATTCATCGAGCACTGATTGATTTTTCAATATATTGCACACTAATGTTCAGTTTAAATTAAATAAAGTGCACCACAATTATTTTTTCAATTTAATCAATCAACCAACCAATCAAATAAATATTTAATGTCCAATGCATAATGATAGGAAGTTTTATAATTTATTGCAAGCTTAATAAAAGAATAAATAATAAATTGATTGTCGTAATCAGTGAAATCAATTCAAAACAATTAGTTGCAGTTAAGAATTTGTTCGTGAAAGGTTTTCTGTGAGAGGCAAAAAAAAAATGTTTCACACTGTTATAAGATATTCAAGCTTTTTAAGTAAATTTATGGGCCTTTCTAATTTTGTTATTGAAGAGGGTGATTTTGCGTCCAGAAAAACGAAAATCTTGGCAAAAATTCGATCTTTTATTATCCCCATAACCAGTATAATTGTGGCTTTGGGATTTGTAATAACACTTTCGCAAGAAACATCAAAAACGACAACATATATCTCGAGGATGATCCTTCTAGTCGAAATTACCACTTCCTGTTATTTTCTGATTATTTCAAACATAAAGAAACTTCATTTTAAAGATTTATTCAAACAAATAAAAGAACGAGAAGTTGATCTAAAAAACTTCTTGCCAAACTATCGAAGTCAAAGTTGCGATAACAAATTAAAAATCGTATTGTTAATTAATTTCGTTGTGTTTCTGGGCGTTATGATGTGTTTTCATATATGCAACGATGGAGTTGATGTGTCTTACATTACATACTATAACAGTATATATGCCGTTCTCGTAATCTATACCATTACCCTTACTATTACTTTTTATGCCATCAAATTAGATCAACAGTTAGAATGTGCAAATAAAATTCTCAAAAATATTCAATTGAAAGATGAAACCGACGTTTTATTCGGACAAGCTTCGACTGACGATTTGGAAAATCTTTTTTCGAAAATATATTCCTCGGTGGATGCAATCTGCAATTATTTTCAAGTTTGCTTCGTAGGGTGCCTTGTCTATAGCACATTTCAGCCACTTTGGAGTATGTACCTTGTAATCGTTAATTTTCCAAAAAAAAGTAATACGATTCTTATTGCTTATTTGTATTGGAGTGGTGTTCAATATTTTCAAGTTAACGAGTGGATATGGGCTTTAACAATATTAAAAAATCAGGTAAAAATTATTTTCATTCAAAATAGAAAGAGAAGACTGTGGTAAATATTGATTAAAATTAAAAGGAATACTCACCCCAAATAAATTTGTGGTAATTAGGGGTGAGTATTTGTGTAATAAATAATAAATAATAAATTTGTGGTAATTAGGCGTGAATATTCCTTTTAAGTTTTAATTTTTTATTTTCCTTCGTTTTTAGTTTCCTACACCTTTAATTTTTAAATAAACTTTGTATTGCTATTTATTATTGTAGGTATCAAAACTAGACAATAATTTTTACAAATTAGCGCGAACGTCACCCAATGCTTGGTTTTATGATATGGTAAGCATATTAACGAGCTCTGGCGTAAACCAGTAAATAAGTAAACATATTTCATTTTATATAGGCAACTTCAATTACACTGAAGCGTTTGGGAAGAAAATCAAATGATTCACTGGCAGGAGTATTTCCTACTGCAAATTGGACACTTAATACTTGGGTAACTTAGTTAATACCAAATTAAAACTTTTTACAAATTTCTTTTGTACTTATTTTAGGTGACATCAACAATTATTTCATATTTAGTGATCATTCTACAATTTAAAATTCAAGAAAATCCTTCAGATTCTGATTTCACTTATTAAACATTACTTAGCCATTGTACCCTTAGATGCACTATATTGTACACTTAATAAATCTAATGTAATATGATTGTTTAGAACAAACATCAATATGAAATTTATTTAATATTGATTTTCCGTTAGAAAGAATTTTACAAATAAATCATGTTTTAGAGGTACTGACATTTTCAAGCATTTGATAATTTCAATTAAAAACAGATAATTTATCTACAAAAGTAGATATAATTTCAACATGTTCAACAAAAATGTGTCAAACTAATCCACCTCATATCATTTTAGTCATTAATAAAAACCACCGGAATTTCAAAATTGTTTTATACCATTAATGCCCTGCATTAGAGGAATTTAGGTAGATATTGGTAGGTGTTTAAAAAATTGAAGCAACAAGCTCCTCCATGCAATTCTTCTCATTTACAAGTTCATCTAGTACCTAAATTAAAATAGAAATATCTACGTACATAGAAAATTTTAACTACCGACCCTAGAGTAGCCCAGCAGTCCACTTATTTGTTTATCTTCTACCTGGTATACCTATGCATGGATATAAAAATAAACAACAAAAACAGCAAAATAAGTTGCGGAACGTATGTAGATCCCTTTTGTCACACTTGGACGAACGGGAATAATCCCCTAAGTACTCCTTGCCTCATAAGTACTCGTTACTTTGGACCAAGCTGTTGACAATAAAAAAACATGGGGAAAAAAATAAACCCTACCTTAAAAAACTATAGTCATCTCTTTATTTTCTTCATTCAATTACCATCGCTGAATTTAAAGCACTTCAGTTTATTTCCAGTTATTACGAAAACTGTCGACCTAACAAAATTTATCAATTTTTCTATGTACGACATTTTTATTTTCCACACAAAGAACCCGCCTCCAACGACCGGCAAATTAACACTACATGTTAAAAACGTTATAGATTTACGATCGACGAACAACAACTTGTTAGTTTTAATCACGGGATTCGATAGATCGTCCAAATTTGAATAAAACCACCGACTAATTAATTACAATGCCAAAAAGATGCTAATCAATCCTACGACCACACTCTCAACAGGTAGAACCGCCTTCGTCTTCAACAAGATTCAGGAAACGGAAATCGAATCAGAATCTATAATACCATAAACATAGAAATTCGTACTTTTGGGCAAGACAAACCCCCTTCAAAAAACTCATAGAAAAGTTCCTAGAAACACTAGAACTAAAATGCATTAAGATCACACATCGATACATATGACCGCCGAAATAACGCGTTTTAATTGTAAAAAGACAAACCAAATAATTTGGAAAGTCAAATGTAATAAAAACCAAAAAATTAATATTATATTATTTAATTTCATGTCTATGAAAACTTATTTTCTAAAATTGGTATCACGTAATCACAGATTGTAATTGACATATTTCAAAAAGGTAACCAAGAAAATTTGGAGTCCAAAATATTACTTTTTTATCTAATAATGGCCTGTCTCCTACTGTTATCATCATTTTGGGGGCTGAAAATAAAAGAAAAAGTATATTAGTGATTGTGTTTTGTTTCTGGTGGACTGTTATTTTCCTAACCTGACACCTGTTGACGCCGAAGAACTGTCCCCAAAATGTGGATTACAACCAGAAATATGAAGAAAAACCAACCTTTAATGAATCAGCAACCAAAAACAAAGTGTTGGAGGTAAAAACGTATCATCAAAAGAGGATATCAGCAAGAAAAATAATACACCAACACCTCAAATCAGAACCAATGATTAGTTAAAAAAACATACATATTGTAACAGAAAAGCTCTCTAAAATACCTCCCTCGCACTTACAACTGATTTAAGGGGGCCTAAATCGACAAGAGAAAAGACAACAAAACTACAAAGTCCTTTGTTTAGTGTCTCATTTATTTGGATGTCAATTTGTGCTTTTCCCTTATAACAAGCTCAAACTGAAACAAATAGTGTATTATTTTGAAAATAAATATCCTACTAAAGTTATGTTACCTTTTTTTAAAGAAACTTACCTGTGAGTGTCTAGATTTAAATGCTATAAATAAAAAAGATAAGTACATCAACGAATATTGGTGCCCCATCTCACTAAGTAAAGCACGACATTTTTTTCACTTTTTTTGCGTTATTAGCCGAATTTGAACCAAAAAGACATTTGAAGAACGTGACTAATTTAATTTAAAGCTCACAAATGACTTTTGTTTTATGTCAGAAACACTTAAAAGACGTTCACTTCTTTTCTTTAAAAACAAGTACTCAACTCACATACGATTTTATTCATAAATTCTGTAACACGAAAGTTTAACATTTACCTTAAAATTAGCCTACAAAATACAAACAATGAATAAACTCTTGAGAACGAAATAAAAACAGCCTTTAAAAGTGAGCTTCATCATCTTAAAAATCTGTTATTTAAAAATTTAGCAGTCTTAACAACAACCAATTATATGGGATCAAATAATAATAAATTGAGTTATTAATTTATCTTCCTCTTATCTCTTTATTTAAAAATGTGCTATGAAAATAAATAATCTTTACCATTTCCTTTTTTTGTTAATACTACTATTATTTAATCCCAGTACAAACATTCAGTAATAAAAGGTGAGTATCTATTAAAAGACAAAAATAAAATAGGAAGATAATTAATGGCTAATAATCGAGTTAAATCTCGCACACCAAGTAACACAAAACACACAATTCCATTCAAACACTGACACTTTCACGTTTATTAGTAGATAAATATCTTTTTTAAAAATTAAGCATAGTGTTAGTTATCGAGGATCCGAATTAATGATTAAAATTAAACTATTAGGAGGGAAAAAGGGCGAATTATTGTGTCTATATAGTCTACAAATTATTGTTATCGTTAAGCTAAATAAATCGTGAAAAATGTTACAATGGCCAGACCTAAGAATGCGAAAGTGTAAAGGATCATGATTCTGACGCTTTTCTTATAGTCTGCTTGTTTTTTCCTAGCAGTCTCGTGACTGTTCTTCCGTCTGTTATCGAAAAGTAACGGCTCGAATGCCACATTCCTTTTGGGCCTTTGCAACACGTCCATTTTTCTCTTTTGCATCAGACACTTTTCGATCTCATCTAACGTCAAATATTTCGAAACACTCTGGTCGGTGGTGGCGGACGAGACTTCCTCCTCAACGGGCGATATTTCGTCCAAATTTGGCACATTATTTATTTTCGTAAACGATTTTTTGCAACAAGAGGCCTGATGGGCGCAGCCGAAAGAAACTCTCGAACATTTTTCGGCGAATGTTTTACGATTCGTCAAGTAGTGACTCGAAACGTTCTTCGAATTGAAGATTATCATTGGCACGTAATTTTTGTATGAAACTTTACTAAGGTCTTTGGTGCTGTTGCTATTTATGAATTTTTTCGGATCCGTTTTTAAATCGTTTTCGGCGTTCGCACGTTCGTAAAGGGGCATGTAATTGAAATGGATCAAGTCGCGTCTATTTGATGAGAACAGGAGATATTTTTCGTTTTGCACTACATCTCCCACATTCCTCGAGTACACAAACAGGGAATTACCGTGAAGGAAATAAAAATCGCTATAAATTTTAACATTCGTCCTCGACAGACAATCGTAGGGGTCACAGTATATATTTTCCAAAAGTACGTTGTCGAATGTTTGCAATCTTCGAAAACTGTCGTATTTGACCTCGATACTATCCGTCGATAGGAATTTTTTGGTCACTTTCGGCGGTTTTTTGAATAAGTCGCCAATTTTTGGACACGATTTAATGTGCTTGCGCCAGATTTTTTTTGACTGTACGTGATCGGTTCTCGATAGGGTGAAAATGGGGTCGTGATTGTAACGCGGTTCGAGGGCACGTGACAGTGTCGAACACGAAGATGATGTCGATAAATTCGACGTGAGAGATGAGTACAATGCGTTAAGTCAATTCAAAATTATCGGTTGCTTCGATTCAATTTTTTGGAGGTCGTGGAGAACCTACGATTTCAAAAAGAAAAAAATTTCCGTCAGGTCACATCAATTAGGAGGCACGATTTAACAAAATTAAATTAATACTTGTCATTAAGTATGTGTTTTCCAAAGTTTCTTTTATATTTACCTTAAAAAATGTAAGGAAAAAACTAAAGAATGATAAGCTGTTAGGCTAATTTTTAAATGACTACGTCTATAATGATCTTTCAATTAGTTATGATTTAATTTTCTTTTTCAACAAATTCCAGATTAAAACCAATCTAAATAAAATGATATCATTAAAATTTTTATGAAATTAAGAAATCTAATGATTATAGACGCATTCATGTTAAAAGTAGTATAAAGGAGGAACCGGAGCTAAATAAAAAAGGCATAATAGTTTTAGGCAATCAATAAAAAAAGTAATACATAGTATATTGTTAAAGTTTCATAAAATGTAGACTGATGATAAAAGAAAATTTCAATTGTTCATTAATGAATGTACATTTTCTTAAAAAAAAATTACACTATAATTACGTGTTTTTAAAAACGATGAAATGGGTAACTGTTGAAATTAGTATAAGTACCTTCGGTCCCTCCTTAATTACGTCAAGAAAACCTTTACCATTTTTAAAAGTATTTTTCAAAGACTCACCTCCAAAATGCAGGCCATACTCCACGCTTGGGTGGCACAACTGCCATGACAGAATGTGCCATTTGCATTCGTTAATTCCGAAAGTCCTCTCCATACAGATGTCTGCAGTTCCGTAAAATGTCGGGATAAAACCACTTTAGTATTCGCAATGGTACGCCTAAGATCGCCATTTTCAGCGGCGAAGTGCAATTTAGCTCTTAAATAGAATCCCATGGGCCAAACCCATTCCTACACATGACACAAATAAATAATACTATTCATATAATATAAGGAAAAAAATTAATTAAGTGAAACTTACAGGCCCTTGATGGTAATTAAAGCCATGGGCTGTGTTGTAATCTTCAGAGTCGTTAGAGTTGTCGTAGATCCCATTGTAACTCCAGTCTTCAGGATCTAATGTTTTCAAGCCCAGGGGACCCAGCAAATATTTTTCCACTTTTTGAAGTGCAGTCCAAGCACGTTTTGAGTCAAATAATTCAGGTGCCTTTAAAGTTAAGTAAAAACACAAATTATTAATTAAATAAATACGATCTGTTGTTCGTTTCAAATATAATAAACAAGCAAATAGTTTTAATCACTTTAAATATATTTAAGCATAACTTACCACAACCATGGTAATTGGAAAATTGCATCTTAACTGGAAGTCTGCGTATTCTTGGCTGGCTCCATGAGAATCTTTATAGATCCCCCTTTTGTTAATCAAATCCGGCCGATTTTCTCCCGCAACAGGCGACATATTCACCCAGAAATATTTTTCAAAGTTCGTCTGTATTTTATCAGCCCATTGTCTGAACGTCCATTTCGTTACATTACCATTCTTGTGAATTCTCTCTACGCCATCGTAAGGATACTTCTTAGCGTGATAAAGCTTGTCCAACCACGTCACAACCGACTTAGAAAGACCTACTAACTCCACAGCTGAACCATCTCTTGGCGTCGCTGGTTTACCACGATTACCTGCTTTATCTGACGACCCCATTTTATCCATCCATGTTCCACAATTCGATTCGTTACCACCAAATACAAAACCTTAAAAAATACGATTACGCAAAATAAGAAGTTATTAATAAATTAACAATCCCTACCTGTTTCTGGATGAACACCGATTTGGTTGTTAAATCCTCTGTCACTCATATGCGCGTCAATTTGCCTTCCTGCGTTCCGTTCTCGAAAAACGAGACCCTGGAAATGGACCTTAAGGGCCTCCTGCATCACGACATGAAGTGGCTGATCTGCGACTCCTGGTTCCTGTCGGGCCGAACTGTCTGTAGGAAAAAGACGCGAAACGGTGTCTGAAAGAATTTCCACCCCATTTGAAACCTCCTCCACGTAAGACTTGATACAATGCAACCACCACCAAACGGCGTCTCGACAGTTGTATCTGTATAAAAAAAGTGAGAATATAGGGCACCTGAGAGTAAAATTAAAATAAAATTTACCTAGGATTTCCACTGTCCAATAAATTCGGTATGAGACCATGTCTCAAACAAGCTGCATAGCCCAAGATATGAAAACGAGCTTCTTCATGACGACCAGTTAAAAGTAAGAGACCTCGCAAAGCAATAAAAGTGTCCCGGCCCCAACTCCTCATGTAACCAGTGGAGAAATGAGGTAATCCTAGCGATTAAATGCTATTTGTTATAAAAGGTTATTATATAAAATTAAAACGCTTATATTATCTATGTAATAATTGGGAACTGAATAAAACTAATACAAAAACAAACTTTTGTAGACGTTTCACAATATTTTGCATTGTAATGGTATCGTCAGGACGTCAAGAGTATGAACGTACGCTAATGAATAAAATACAGTGAAACTTCTCCAGGTGCTTGTTTATTTTATTTTACCTGCAGCTAAAGTAGTACAGGCTTGAACTTCCTTCCCTTCATTGGTTCTTATTTTTGGGGGCAAGGGTGGACTTAGATTAGGAGAAAACGGGGGCAAATTGGCTGATTTACAGTAAGATACGCATTGTACAGAGCCCAATGCAAGACCTTTTACGAATGTAGATCCATATGTAATAAAACTAAAAAAAAAAAATAATAATTCGTCAATTTCATTATCAAAACCGTAGTTTTTTAATTAACATACTTTGACATTAAAGTGAATGACTGGTCCAGAAGGAGCATGTAAAGTCCGGTTACAAAGGCATCAAAATAACAGGGTATTAGATAGCGAGGGATGTCTTTCAAGGGTTTAATATTTTCTTGAATCCAAACACCTAATTCGTTTGTGCCTTCGCCAAACTTAAGTCTTTGCCACACATAATCTAAAATATATTTTATTTTTACAAGGTGATTAAATAATATACAATCTGAAACACTTACCTATCATCCAATTTCCGGCTCTAAGGTTACCACACATTGGATGACCTAAGTCGTTAAATGGTCTTATTTTCGACAATAAAGATATTAGTCCTGTAACAAATTAATGAATAATTAGAATTATTGATATTAATTACTGAAAAGACACCCGCCTTGAAATCCGCAATAAACCATAGGACCAAATCCAGGAATATCGTATACGCCAAAGCCATTTCCTTCGTCCTTCTCTTCTTGGTCACAATGATAAAGGGCTCT